ATGTCTTCAACTGCATATACTTGTATTTCTGCCTGGATGCTGAATGCAGTAGGTTATAGCCAACTAGTTTTCTATGATCTTGCCTGCTTACCTTCCTCGTTGCAACCCCAGTCCTTTGTGACTTTTTTGCATGTGGGTCCCACGATCCCTGCTGTAACCTTTTTGATAGTGAAAAGCAGCCCGTCCTACCCAGAAGCTGGTATGGCGCAACCAGATTTTTTAAATGGTCCACAGTGGGATAGATTGGCCACATTTAATAGACCCTAGTGCTGTGTGACGAAGTGAGCTCCCGTCTCTGGCCCCAGCTCCTGCCAGCCTAGCAGTTCGAAAGCAAGAAATTGCAAATAGAGAAATAGATACCGCTTCACTGGGACGGTAACAGCATTCTGTGCACCTTGGGGTTTAGTCATGCTGGCCACATGACCTCAGAAATGTCTTCGGACAGCACTGGCTCTTCAACTTGGAAACAGAGAGGAGCATCGCCTCCTAGAGTCGGATTCGACTAGCTTTCAAGCAAGGGAAACCTCTACCTTTACCTTTTTTTAGTGCTGAGAACACACTGTGAACCCTTCTTCATCATCCTTCTCTTCAGTGCTCTGGGCACATGGAGTTTCTTTATTGTTTCCTTGTCCTTCTGTTATGTCATTATGGAAACAGGTTGACAAGCAAATAGATCTGTTTATCATGGTGTTTCTAAAACTGAAATTTCAGAGTATCTCAGATGCATCAGTTGAAACTGCCCTCCCCTGCCCTCTTCCAGAGAAGAATTCAGAGCCTTCTGTGTTTCGAATTTCTCACGCTCATCTCCTGTTTATCTTGGGGTTGTTGGCTTCAAGATAAAATGTCTTCAGTGACCTTGTGTTTTCTTTGGTAAATAGCAAACAGGGCATGATGTCAGCTGAGGAAACAGAACAGGAAAGAACAGGAAAACCTGGAAACTGAATGATTCTGTTCCTTCAAAATAGGAAACAGCTTTTAAGTTCCTTTGGACATGGGGAGAAACCACATTAGTTAGCAGTTAACACTCTGTGTCCTCCAACATGGGCTAAGGAAACTATTGTTCCATTGATGGGGACATGCAACTGGATGGATCTGCATGCACAAGGAGAGATGTGTATGGTCATAAGTGTATTTAGAATGAATTGTGGAAACATTTATTGATTACTGACTTTTCTGGAATAGTGATTGACAATTTTTATTTTAGTTTGTATTTCAGATATTCTTCAGAGTAATGTCCTTAGAGTATTTATAGACTGTGAGATGCTTTTACAGTGTGAAAAGCGGCTTATGTCAGCCCAGAATAAGGCTGCTTTTGTACTATCCATTCAACAGGATATGGGTCACCTGGTGGATTAGCACAGGCTGTTACTTCACAAATTATATTTGTAAACTCATCATGAGACGTTTGGGGAATCAACACATAGCATCTGGCTGTATAACAGAAACAAATAGCACAAATCTTACCATTTTCCAAGTTGTTTGTAGGAACATGGTAACATTCATCTCAGTGTGGTGTACTGGAAACCATTGGCTTTCCGTGTGTTCACAGGGTTTCCATATATTATGCCTGCCACAAACATTCCATTGCAAATAGCACAGGGTGGTGGTGGTTTGTCTCACTTGAGCTAGGATATTCCTATGCTGTTCAATTTTGGCCATGAAACTCCCATAATCATCCTGAAGCCGGTGTCCAATTTTGAGTCTTCTAGCTTTATTCTCTGATGGGATATGCGTGCCAGGGCTGGCTCACCCATTAGGTGAACTAGGCATTCGCCTAGAGCGCCAGGCCCTGGATGGGGCACCAAACTGTGCCTCCCCCCCGCCAAAAGCCCACGTGCCATTGCTGCTCCCAGCCGTGTGGCATGGGGGGGACGCGAAAGGGGAGTGCAGGCCACCTCACCTTCCTCCTCTGCCTAGGATCGGCTTTTGTAAATCCAAATGTGAGGTGTTTTGTTTTGGGTACCCGGAAACCTTGCCGCCGCCTCCTCACTTGCCTATGATGTCTGGCTTCAGGCTGGGGAGCAAAAGCAACTCCCAATCCGGCCTTTGCATTTGCAACGCACCAACTTTGAGCTCCTCATTCTCGAGCTTGGAAGCTCTCGCTGCTGCTGCTGCTGCTGCCACAGCTCTGGCAGAGATTGCTCGCTACCCTCTCCCCCCCCCAAAGGCTCCCAGCAGCTTCTGGGCTTGTACCAAACAAACAGCTCCACTTTGGCTTGCAACAGAATCGCCTCTCCCCCCCTTCCCTCCTGCCGCCCGGCTGCTTTCTTAAAGGGGCTGGTGCTAATTCAATAGCGCCATCGGAGTCACCCGCAATGTCCACTTGGCTCGTGCTTGCTCCTCGAGGGGAGTTTTGTCCAAAAAATTAAAATGCAAGCGAACTCTCCAGGCCCCACCTGGAGGTTGGCAACCCTGTAACTGGGCACGGGGCCGCCAGAAGATAACTTCGCCTAGGGCGCAAAAAAACCTCGGGCCGGCCCTGATGCGTGCCAGTGTGGTGTAGTGATTAAAGTGTCAGACTGGGATCTGGGAACTCAGGTTCAAATCCCCACTCTGCAATAGAAGCTTGCAGGGTGATCTTGGGCCAGTCTTAGCCTAACCTACCTCAAAGGGTTGTTCTGAGGATAAAAATGGAGGAGAGAAGAATGATGTAAGCCACATTGGGTCCCCATTGGGGAGAAAGGTGGGACATAAGTAAAATAAATAAATAAATAACAGATGGATAGACAGGCTGATTATTTTATTACTATAGATTCATGGTAACAGTGATTTGTTCTGTTATGATATTTTATTTGGAACAGGGCCATATGGGGGGCCCAGGTGGAATCTTTATCTGGTGGCTCTTGACAGCCCTGTCAATTCCTGTCTTGTTCTTCAACAAAGAATCTCTAACTCCTTTACCATTTTATTCCCCACACTTCTCAGATTACTCTTGTTTTCTCCTCATGCTGACATGATACACACCTCAGAAAGTGAGTCATTAATCTTGGACATAATCATTGTACTTAATGATTGAAGTTCTCAAAAATGTGCTTCTCAAACTGACATGATGTCTGTGACAACTTTTACTGACAAACCAAAGTGGTATTGAAATCTGTGAGTGACCTATAAAAACATTGTTCTTCTAAAACCTAAAAGCAAAAATAACATTGCACCACTGGCTGAAAACTAAATCCCAGAGCTGTAACACAGAGGATAGTTTTGTAAAAAATAGTCTGTAAAGAACATTCGAGTGTTACTTTAGAAATGTTTTAGCTTCCACTGCCACTTAGACCTGTGCATATTTTTTAAACTAAAATTATTTCCTTAGTTAGCTACTGTGGGAAACAGAATCCTCAGTTTGCAGTATAAGAAATAGCTATTGATTCATTATGCTTTCTAATTTAGCAGCATGGAACTTCTCTTTACTATCTTATTTGCCTGTTTAAGATTGCATCCTGTTCTTAAAAATATATGATTGGTGGAAGACGATTAGGGGGGAAAGCCCAGTCATTATCGAGCTGACTCCTTACATAACTGTTGAACAGGATTGCTGCCTGAATATAAACAGGAAGTGAATAGGTTCCAGAATCTAAGGAAATAAGAGAGTTTGCTTTTTATTTGCCAATTGGTTGTGGTCCATTTCTAATGTAATCACAAGGAAAGTCCGCAAAGAGCTAGAGTGTGCACTTTGGCATCCTGTGTAGTGTCTGTGGTGTGATATCCTTTCTAACATTCAGATACAAATGGCACTTATCCAAATGGATCTCACAATTAACCGTGTGGCAAACTTCCAATGGGAATGCAGAGACTGCCCAATAATAAAGTGTTACAAGGCATATTTACATCACAGAAGCAGTGTGTATTAAAATACTCGGGGTGGTTTTCAGTTCTAAATATATGGAAATATGAGAAACCATCAGTAGCAGGACCAGGAAAGGAACTTAGTCTGGCCTCCTCCCAATGGCACTGTGATATCTCTAGACTTCGCCTCCTGACACCCACATTGCATTCCTACTTCCCACTAACCCATTATTTCCCACTTAGGATCTGGGTATATTTCTATTACAAAAACAGCCATATGGTTTTCAGGGATTGGTAATAGAGTACTAAAGGTTAGGCATCCATGATAGTTGTTGGACTGGAAGCATTTAACAGAGATCTGGAATTCATTTTGTTTAATCTGTTTATCTGTTTAAACTTATACAGCAATGATTTAATTATAATTACAAAGGAACCAAGTTTTACCATATCCAGCATTTGTATAGAGAGTGTCATGGCTGCTATTTATTTCTTTTACTTCCCAGTGGGGGGGAACCCAAACAGCTTATGTCACTATCCTGCCCTCCATTTTATCTTCACAACAACCCTGTGAAGTAAGTTAGACTTAGCAAGTATAACTGGCCCAAGATCACCCAGTGGGCTTCTATGGCAGAGTAGGGATTTGAACTTGGGGCTCAAAGACCCCAATCAGACATTCTGTCCACTACCCCACACTGTCTTTTTCATGCAATTAAATGAAGACTGATTTCACACTAGAGCTGCCTCGCTGTTGCGCCGCTGTTTGCCCCAGTTCTATTGGTCAGTTTCACACCCGAAGCCGCACGGCTGATTTTGACCCGCAGCTTTGCCCGATTTTCCCCGCAGTTTTGTGATCTTGTTTTTTGAGGATCAACAAAACTGCGGAGGAAATCGGGTGAAGCCACAGGTCTAAATCAGCTGCGTGGCTTCGGGTGTGAAATTGACCAATAGAACCGGGGCAAACGATGGCGCAACAGCGAGGCAGCTCTAGTGCGAAATCAGCCGAAGTGAAATTAATGAAATGTAGTGAAATTAAAGAAATGTTGTTTTCCAAACAACACTTATTGTAATATGATGGAACCTGGTCCTTTACATCTCCATTCTGTCAGCACAGTTATGATGATTGTGTTGAATTCGTTAGGAGAGTTTTGGAATGGAATGAATTCAGACTGACAGATCCATGATAATGGCCATTTCCTTTTTCCTGTCATTCACCCCAGCTACCCATTTCCCATGGTGTTTAGCAGCTGCAGCAAGAAAGACCTGGAAAACAGTTTGGAAAAAGGAGTGGGGATGTGTCTCTTCAACCTGCCAGAAGTTAAGGAATCATTTGGTGGTCCAAAGTGTGGGAATGGCTACGTAGAAGAAGGAGAGGAATGTGACTGTGGGGAACCTGAGGTAGGACTACCATTATTGCTTGTTATTGCTTAATTATGGTCCTCAAGCTGTTACCTACTGGCTGTTCATGCACTTAGGGTAGCCCACCCACCTTCAACTGTAGCCCGTGTCTTCTTCATTGTAGGTCCCCCTTTGACCCAAACTAGATGAGACACCTGGCCTTCAGTAATGTAAAGGCTCCCCCCCCCCAAACTCTGATTGTGACATTGCTGAACATGACTTGAGGGAAACAAAGTTTGTAAGAGCTCAGTTAGACTTGGGACTGCAGTTCAGTAGGAATTGATGCCTCTGCCTCCCCCCCCCCCTTCCCAGCTGTTCTCTCAAGATGAAATAGCCCTGGGGGACATCATTTGCCTGACTGTGGACCCGCACATGCACTGCATTCTACATGTGCCGCCTTGCAAGGGGGCAAATAATACCCACCAGTGTTGTTTTGGCTTGGGAAAATGGTCCAGTGGGGAACACAGAAGCCCCTTCTCCCTTTGTGCCACAATCCAAAGCCAAATCAGGCCCTAGTATGCATGGGCTTGCACATTTTGTTTCCCTCACGTCCTGTTTGGCAGTGGCACTATCATAGTTGAGGGGGGGGGACCCCAATCTGACTCATGGCCAAATGTCTCCTCAAGACTGCCTAATACTAGACTGTTTCCAAAACATTACTGTTCCTTTGATCTCATTCTGTTCAATCACATTTGCTAGGACTAGAGAAGACATATAATCAGACACCCTTTCTTCATTTAGGCCTTGGCATTCACCATTGATACTGGAATTCTTCAGATAATCAGGAATAAATCTATCTGTGGATGATGGATTTGTCTCCTCTAATAAACATAGTAGTACTGCATACAAAATAGACTAAGGGACATTGAAAAAGCAAGAAATTGCTCTGACTTTTCCATACAGTTTATTGAATTGATCCCAGCCATAAGGATTTTCTGACAGCTCATTCATTCTTCTGGGTAGCAGGGTTGAAAAAGTAGGCTTATCTGCTTGTTTAAAGTCAATAGAATGTCTGTAGCTTGCAAATTCTAACCCAGTTATCTTTCTCATTTTTACTCCTGAATGTTACTGATACCTTTTAAAGTAAAAACCACTTAATATTGCTACAAAGTGGTTTGAACTGCAGCTTCTTTTTTTGTTTTGTTAAATGCCTTGGAAAATTGTGGCTCGGGTATGATTGATTTCAGACCTAATCTTCTAGTGTAATCTGTAAGGTACCAGCAAATCCATTACATTAGTTAATGTTACATTAGCTAAGTAATTTAGACCAGTATCGGCACGTCAATACCACTCTAATCCTTGAAGGCATTAAGTTGTTCTGTGTGTAACTGTATGTGGGGATTGCATTCAAAATTCATTATTATTAGCTTTTGGAATGAAATGGTGACATTCAAAAATTTTAGTAGGCATTTTTGTACTGTTGGTCTTTGCTCATACTAGATTTTGTGAAGACATTTAAGGTCAGTGAGAAACTGTTTTCCACAAGATTAGCATTTACCTACCCAGGAGAGACCTGGGAAGAAGCTTTGCTCCCAGAAAGTGAGATGAAGAATCTTCAGTAATCTATCTGATTAAGTGTGCATGTCTGGAAAAGCTTATATCCAGAATTAAACTTTGTTGATCTTAAAGGTGCCACTGGAATCAAACTTTGTTCTAACAGCATGTACAGGATTAGACCCACTCAGCCCAGTCCAGGGTTGAGAGGGAATCCTATATTTCAGCACATTAAACAAAGATCCACGAGATAGTCTGTACTCTCTCTGGTCTTCACAATAGCTTGCCACCAGAATCTCTTCAAAGGGATCCCCACCTAGCCTAAGAGCAGAAATTCAATCCCTTAGCTGGCATCTGGGACTTAACACATCAGCAACTCTGCTCAGAGGAGCATAGAATTACTCCCACAATGGTAGCTCTGTGGTCAGCTTAGACACAAGATTTAGCCTTGGAGTTCAAGTACAGCATCAGAGACAATTACAAATATGAATGATCTTTATTCAGTGCAAAGCATAACAAGAGACTAATGGAGGATACAAAAACAATAACAGCCTATGGCTATTTGCCCTTACTACACATTAATAATAATCATAGTTATCAGGTAGTCCAAAATTGTCCAGTGTAACAATACAGGTTGGCACCAAGGGATCTTGAAGAGAAATCCCATCTTGTAGGTAGATAGTCCAGCTATGTTCAGAGATACAGATCCACAGTAACACAAGGTTGGCAACCAGTTCACAAAGAAGCTCTTTGTTTCAAAAGTCAGGTTCCCAGGAGCAAGACAGCAAGAGACAGCAAGCTAGAGAGCTCTTCCATAAGGAACCACGGAGTTATACCTCCCCCCATGCCAGTCATCATCAGCTGTGGCCATCAGCCAATCACAAGCGGCAGAGGTGTGTGCCCAATTTCTGGTTGCCATAGCTGCAACATCAGGTGGGTGGGGATTGGCTAAGAAGTTAGAGGCCCTGTCTGCAGTCAGGTGGTCCAGCTCCCAGCTTTCTCCATTGTGTATGTGACATGACTCATGTAAGCCAGGCCAGAGGTGCCTTCAAGTCTGGCTTTCAACAGAGAGGTGTGAAGGAATGTGCATGATTATATGGCATGGCTATTTGGTGGCTCAGCCATCTGGTCAAGTGACAGAAATCACACTAGGCCATCTGGCCTGCAACAGGAAAGAGGCACAGAATGTCATCACAGGAAGAAGGCATGAGAATTTAGAACCAATATTTCTATACACAGCAATAATAATGGAAAATAATTCTGCAAATCTTTCCTGAGAATTATGCACAATACCCATTTTTTGTTGTTCAGTCGCACAGTCGAGTCCGACTCTTCGCGACCCCATGGACCAGCTCCCGCCAGGCCCTCTTGTCTTCCACCGTCCTCTGAAGTTTGCTCAATTTCATGTTCGTTGCATCTATGACACTGTCTAACCATCTCATCCTTTGCTGTCCCCGTCTTCTTTGACCTTCAATCTTTCCCAGCATCAGGGTCTTCTCCAGTGAGTGCTCCCTTCTCATTGGGTGGCCAAAGTATTTGAGCTTCAGTTTCATTATCTGGCCTTCCAGGGAACAGTCAGGGTTGATTTCTTTTAGGATTGACTGATTTGATCTTCTTGCAGTCCAAGGGACTCTCAAGAGCCTTCTCCAGCACCATAGTTCAAAAGAATCTATTCTTCGGCGCTCGGCCTTCCTTATAACGCCCATAGGCTCTTTCAATTGGACACAGACAGACCAAGTAAAACCAGATTCATGAATTAAATCAGTTCATTCAAGCACAACACCTTAGCAACAAATAAACAGGTAAAAAGTGCATGCAACACATTGTATTATCTCACCTAGTATGAGTACTGGTAAGTCTACTTGATGAGAAACAAGCACGTTGGTGATGGCCTTTTCTCAATGGGTTTGGCGCTTCTTGCTCTGAGTTTGAATGAGCTGAACTGTCCATCTTTCTGGGAACATTTTTTCAGTTGACTTCCATGTGAGTGAGTCAAAGATCAGTTGCAGGCAGTTCTTCTTAGAACTGGTTTGTGTGAATCAAAACAAAAGCTTAAGCAAGGTTTTGCAACCCAACAGCTCCTTGACCTAGTGCCACTGGTTTCTGTTCGCATGTTGCTCCAGCTACATCAAGTGTATTTCTTAATTTTCCCAAATATTTCATACAGAGGGATCCAATAAGAATGTGTTAATCTTAACAATAAATTACTGAATTTGCATCTCGCTTCATGGTTTTTTTTAACATGTAAGCTATTCTCTGTCTGTTCCTCTGACAGGTCCTCTGGCTTTCTTAGCCCTGTTCTCAAACTTGGAAGAAGAAGGTTTTGGGGTTCTTACACTATACCACTAACCTTAAAATCCCTTTGGAAAGCAGGAGATCTAGGTCTGTCACATTTGTATCCTATTTGTACACTTCACTTAGATATCTCGCTGACTACTTTTGGAAATAATGCTGGACTGGAGTTACTTCCAAAAATTCTCCTCAACCAAATTTTGTAATTCTGAATTGCTTTATCTTATTTTCAAAGTCATGGCAACATATTAGAATTTCTCCATCGTTGCATATTTAATTGCAGAACACTGTGGATACATAGTTTGCTGTGGGTGTTTTGGTTCCTACATGTGCTTCTTTTCTCTTCTAAATGACTGGTGTGCGTATCAAAAACATAGCAAAAAAAGCAGTCTTGATGAGATTATCTGCACAGTTGCATTGTGATTCTTTTGGTGTGGTGATTAACAATGTAACAGTTCAAACACTGACGTTTTCTTCCTTCTGCTGTTTCACAAGACAGTAGAACAATCAGTTGGCCATATCTTGTTTAAAGGCCCTTTGGAAGGTATTAAGGGAGTGATAGCTTGTGGACATTGTCAAAGGACCCTAAAGCCAGGACTCGTTGTAGGGGCAGGTCAAGCAAGACAAAACCAAAAAGGCTGAAGTGTGAGTCCTCACACCCCATGGTAGCACTACCACCAGCCCCTTTATTACTACCCAGACAACCAGTGACCAAAGTACACCTCTAGCCTTTCTGGGACTAAGATCAAAGAAGTCATCCTTGCAAGGCAGGACACTTACGAGGCGAGTTTCAGCAAACAATCTGGAAGCTGTAGCCAATGAGAGCTAAAGTACTAAATTCAGACTGAAGCCTCCTGAATTCAAGAACACCACAAAATATAAGTGTTTTATTATAAAATTGTGCAGGAATAGTCAATAAAAGAACAATGAACAGTGAGGATGAAAATAATAAATCTGTAAGTCTAAACTAAGCACATTTACAAGCATTGGTTCAAGATCTAGATATTACCCCATAAGACTGAGTCCAATAGGGTTCCAAAGTCCAAGACAAGGTTTCCAGTCAGTATGACCCATCAAGAAGTGTCAGATGTAATCCAGACACAGGGCAAAACTAAAATGAAAGGTCTTTTCTGTATGCTCAACAACCCACACAAGCCTGATTCTAATTAACCAATCAAATGTATGAGAATGATGTAACTTGACCAATCAGGTAT